ATCATTCAGTATTGCAGTTACGTGAAACTAACAAACAGTCCCATTGTATTACCATGTTTTTTTTGGACATGGACATGTTCTAATTCTTAGTGCAATCTAAATACCATAGAACATGGTATTACTTTTCGTACTATGATGTTTTAAAGTACTATAGAATTACTATCTGATACCATGGTACTGTCACAGTATTTTTATAAGGGAAAATTTGTTTGACATGGTACCATGGTAATACCATGTTTTTTGGACATGTACTATAGCAATACCATGGTATAAGTTCATTTACCTTGGAGTAACAGGTAATACCTTGGTATAAATGATAATCATTCAGTATTATACTGACAAAAAGTACCATAGTGCTACCATGTACAATGGTAGTACCGTGTTATTCTTAAAAGTACCATGTGAATGGTAATCACCTAATATTATACTTACATAGAAGTATTAAAAAGTATCATGTTTTTTGGACATGGTAGCCTACCATAGAATACCATGTAAATACCATAGTATGTGGTATTATTTTCAGTATCATGGTATATTTCAAAGTACAATGGTACTGTATACTTCTTGGTACCACCATGTTTTTACCATGGTACTATTTTTGTAAAAAAAGAGTAACTTGCATTTTTTACTTGGTACTTGGTCCTTTTCTCTTTATATCAATACTCATCATCATCATTAAATCATTTCGTACCATGGTACCGCCAGAGTACTTTTTTGTAAGACTTCTTTCTTACTTTCATCAAATCCTCATCGTCTCTATTTTTAGCCGTTGTCCTGCTATTCTGGAATTCATTGCTGACTGGCTGCTGCCGAGCGGAATCCTTTCAGGAATGTCTGGAACTTTCTCAAACCACTACAGAGAGAGAAAGTGAGTGAGAGGTTGATCTGTGGGAAGGGGGAGAGGAAAGGAGAAAGCAGATGTGTTTGTTCTTCTGTTGTGGACTACAGTAAGTCTGAATATGTGTGTGCGAGTGCGATCAGGACTTCTCTATGTGCTCAGAAGTATCTTGAATTGATTAGCACGCGTGAGATGACTCGTCTTTCTGTGTGTGGTCCTTTTAGCAATAACAATCAGTCATAATCTCTCACAGTTCCTGGATCAGTATTACTGCTTCAAAGAACAAGTTCAGAGTGAAAGCCAGGCCGTACAGGCCACCTGCTGATCACAAAAGTACCGATCTGTCCCGTGTGGGTCAGGTTTTGCTTACATTGTGGAAGCTAAATGCATATAATTTTAGTGATTGTAGTTTAGAAAACGAATGCTTTTGTCAAGCTACATTATCACTTTATAAGATTTAAGCAGATTTAAGAAGACACGTTGACATCTCCAGCAAGTGAATGTAGTGAGCAGCTAATGCCCAAAAGTGCATTCTGGGAGTTTATTTTTTATTTGTTGGAAATTTTGACAATGGGACTCCCTTGGAATTGTACAGCTGAATTAGACAGCGGATTGAGACACACCTAAGGACTAAAATCAAGGACTGTAGCAGCACAAATGTATTTGGGTCAGTCTGGTTTGTGCAGCAGGTCTGCTATATTTCTTTCTCTCTGGCACGCGGCTGAAACACTCTCTTGTTCTGTTTCTGTGGGCCCTGGAGAGCAGCTCAGGATCAAATTAAAGCTGGCAAAGACAGCAGCCTCTCCTTTATATATTTCTCCCTTCAGATCTTGTCTCTTGTTCATGCGCACCTTTCTGTACTCTGGGCTTGTGTAAAATCTTTGGCCTGCTTAAAGGGATAGTTTACCCAAGAATTAGTATTCTGTCATCATTTACTCACCCTCATTACTCATTACCCTCACTACTCGATTAATCCAAACGGTTCACTGAAAGATCTGAGGTCTACTACCTGAGAAATATTAGATGTAGGATATTCCTTGACTTATGCATGCAAGAATAAACCATTAGTGCAGTCAAATAAAGTAGACACAGATATCACCTCCTTTGAAATGATTCGTTTATTGAGTTGGTTTTACACAGATTTGGTTTTGTGGTACAAAACACTGCTGGTTAGCAAGATATCTCCACTTAACAACAACCAAAGCAGCTGAATACACAACCAAAGCTTTACAACACAACCACGTGACCGCAATGCACCATCTCTCTGTTATTTTGCTCTTCCAGTTGTCTTTCAGTGTTTGTTTGCACACTTTGTATGAGTGCTGTTAAATGAAATGGCTTCACCACTAATAAATAGAGTATAAAAATGCAATTGTAATAATTTTATTATCAAAAAATTAAACAGAAATCATAAAAGATAGCAAAGGCACTGAACAAAAAATACCTTGGCAGTCCTTGTTTCTCAAACTGATACCAAACCCCTAAAAAAGATTATGGCATTGACCAACAAAAGTAATTAATTATAATAAAATAATGCATAAATAACATAATAATACTACCATTTCAGTAGTGTCAATAAACAATATCCAGTCAAGTTTTCCTCTATGCTGAATTTTGACTAATATGCACCAGGTATTTCCAGTTTGGCTGAAAGCATGTTTGAATTTGATTCGCAATGGCCGCCTCTGTTAATCTCAGTTACGATGGCACTATGGTTAGCAATGGCACATTTGGGTGGATGCTCAACTTCGTCTTAAAGTATTAAGACAAATAAGGTTGATAGTGAATATAGTGACACCAAATATTGGGTCAGATCTGTGAGGCGGCTTTTGAGATTTCTGACACACATCAAATGACCCTGATGAAACTGCAGTAGTTGTGATTGATCGTCTGTTTATGCAAATGCTAGGCATTAGCATTAGCACTGCATGTCTGCACTAAAAACCTGTAGAGACCAGGAAAGATCGTTGATTATACGCGCAACGTTCTTCTGTAAGGTAAATCAATAATAATATTTTGGAGAATCAAAAACAGAAGCGCAATAACATAAAAATACTAACATAGTATAATTTGATCACTGAATCCAGTTGACAATACAATGCAATACAGAAATGCAGTATGATATGATACACATTAGGTGTGTCTATAATATCTTCCCAGGACCACCTTTGAACAAAATGCCTCCCATGATCTGTTTCTGTTGAAATTTTTGGTGCAAAATGAATTTTTCTATTAACGCTAATAGCCAATTTGCTAACTTAGCGTCTCTTTACTCATAAGCGCCTTCTTTGGTACAAAATACTTGCCTTATCCTTTCATCTACTTTCTTCATCTCACTATTTCTACACTTGCACTAGTCTTTCTTCACATGCAGCAAAATAAAAAGCTACATCATCCTTTCCAGTGAATAATTCTATGTGTCCCTCTTACTGGAAAAGTGTCTTCCATCCATAAAATGCTTTCATGAACATACCTTGGTAAATACCTCTCTTTCTACTACAGCTACTTCACACTTGCCTTCTAAAAACATTTAGACAACAGCCTTAAAAAACTAAAATTGCACTTGAAATTCTGCAGGTAGACAACAAACAAAGGACTAAAGATTCTGAAACAATAAAGCTTCTGTCCCATTAAACCTATGACACAGGCAAGCTCACAAGATCTAGTCCAAACATGCCTCTAAAGAGCCTTTGGAATTTGCTGCCTCATCACGGCTTTGAAACAAATTGGTCTACTTGTTTTTTTGTTTTGTTTTTTAGCTCTAACGGGAGTGATTTGGGCATCAAAGTTCAACAGAGAACCAATAATCCATTATTCTTAAAGCTTAAAGTTATAATCCCTAAGCATCAACACATAAACATCAGGAGAGACAATGTTCCTACAGTCCAAAACCTTTGGAAATAGTCAAACAAGCTTGTCTCGGCCTGAACATTCTTTGGAGCTGAGATTGTGTCTGACATTTCTACCTTGAGTTAAACCTTGTTAATGTGAAGGTGTCCAGAACTCTAAACAGTCAGCTAACCCAATCAAGAAACCACAAGAGTACCATTCTAGAGAAACACATGGTGCATGCACACATGTTCCTGTCAGGACTCAATCAGAAACAACCAATCCAGCATGCTGGCACCTTGAATTACCCAGCGAGTTCTGAAAATAAACTCCCTTTCAAGGTGTTCATGGACTGACCATTCTTCTTCTTGAATAATGCACTGTAAAGCACTAGCCTCTCGGCAAAAGTGGGGCAACTTTAACCTTGAAGTCAGGTAGTTCTGTAAGGTAGGCTTTGTGCTCAGAGGTCCTGGGGCTCTTCTAAGCATTCGATACAAACTAAAAAATAAAATAATAAAATAAAAACAATAATACGCAGTTCATCTGATGACAGCTTCCTCTGGCATCTCTCTCCACCTTAAGGAAATGACATACATAATTTAATATGAATTAAAAAATTAAAAACAAACAAACAAAAAGGCACTTCTATAAATCCATATATATGCTTCGACTCATAGGATCAATACGAGTTTGATCATTACATATGCAGTTTAAATGTCATATTACAATAACCAAGAAAGAAAAATAACAATTATATATGTCAGTTCCAACCAAGGACAACGAGAGATTTCAGTTTCTTATTCTTCCAGTACTGCCAGACCACACCAGTTTTGTATCACTAAATCTACAAAAAAAATATTAATAAATAATACACAACAACAGTTCATTTGGAGCAAGACCCTGGTTTCGTTTTTTGGAAGTAAATATCACAAATGGCTCTGTGAGAGTTTTAAGGTGCTTGATAAACTCAGGTTGGCTCTTATTTTTGTTTCATCAAGGCTGCTGTTACATGATGCCATACTGTGTTGCTAACTCACCTTATACTTAATATGTAAACATTTAATATCATTCCTTGCCTGTAGGGGGATAATGTCCCAGAGTACCAACTTAAATTTTACTTACTTCAAACCCTTAAATCCCCCTAGGCTGTAGTTCCTATAGTTGTATTTGATACAAATTTTAACTGTGTATAAGATTGGGTTGGGTAAAGGTCAAGTAAAATAGGGTAGGATTAGGGTTAAGGTTTGGTTGTGTACAACCTCCAATATCATCCCATTGAAAAAGGACTCACATTCATAGAATCCCAGTTTTGCACTGGTCGTCAACAACATGCCGAACAAACATCTTCCACTTGCTCCACCTTCTTTCTTTCTAGGCCCCTCTCAACTGGCCCCCATCCCTATGACAGGTTGTTGCTGATGTCCAGGGCTTGTTGGTACACCTGAGTCATATCATCAAGATCTCCTAGTAGAGAGAAGCTGCTGTTATCCCCCGGAGAGCCCCGCGTTCCTCGGCTGAATTTCCCACTATGTAGGGGAGGAGCTGCCTGGAGACCTTTGAAGTTGGCCAGCTGGAGAAGGTTTTCTGCAGACACACAGCCTCTGATGTTGGGGCGGGCACCGGGTGGGGGCCAGTCAGTGCCACTGAAGGAACTGTTGGTGATGGTGTCCCTATCCTCCCTTACAATACTAGATGGGCGACTCTGACTGCGGGATAAACCAGAATCGCCAGGTGCTGGTTCCCCAAGGACACTCAAAGGAGGAGCGCCACTGTATGTAGAATACTTCCCGTTGTGCTTCAAGATGCCCTTCCTACCAACTGCTCGCTTTGGTGGTGAGCTGGCGGCAAGAGGTGTAATGTTGCCACCTAGCAGGTCAGAGGACTCGCTGCGCTCTGGGGAAGAATAGTACCCTGATTCTCGTTGTTGGTTGTTTTTTAGGATTCCCTTCTTCGGAAGGATAGAGACCGCTTTGGTAGGAGAGTTGCCTGTTAGGCCCTGCTCCTCCTCGCCCTCTTCATCTTCAGGCCCGGATTCCTTCTCTGGGGTTCCCACACTGGATTCTATTTCTTCCAGACTTGGAGAGCGTTGCTCTTCAGAGGTTCTTGTCTTCAGGATGCCCTTTGGTCTCTTGAGGCCCAGGCTGTCATCTCCATTACAGTGAGACACACCGTCATCATTCTCTTTCTTAGACTTTTTGGGCCGTTGACGGACAAGCAGGAATGGCTCGGACCGGATGGCTTTAGTGGGTCGAGGCTCAGTCCGGTTCTGCCAGTCAATGAGACGAGCCAGCATGGGTGAGCCAGCATCCCTTTGCGATTCACAGTCACACACACTGGTTTTCCATCCCCAGTTTACCCACCAGTGATTGGCGATGTCTTCCACTGTGGCCCGCCGCTCGGGGTTGACCATCAGCATCCAGCGGATAAGACCACGAGCATCTAAACAAAAGACCAAGCAAGCTTCTTGTTTATCATGATCAAGAGACACATTTACCTGCATACATCGGTACACATTTTTCTATACAAAAGGCATTCTGAACTTTGTCTAAGAGTTCATGCAAGACCAGTACCTGATGACTGGGATGGTTCTCGATACTCTCCGTTGCTGATTTGCCAAATGAGATTTTTGTGGTCCCCTCCATCGAATGGCATGCTGCCATAGACCAGCGTATACAGCAAAACCCCCAGAGCCCAGCTGTCCACCTGCAAATAATGGATGGCATTGATGTCAGCTGACTCTGAAAGAACATTGAGTTACTGCTAACGGTTAATGACACTTCAGATATTCTGTCATATGGAGGTGGGATAGAAATCACATGACAAGACTTGGATGTTTAATGCTGGCTGTGCTTTCATGCGCAAATCTATTGATGGCATGACTTTTTGGAAAGCAACTGGACACTCCAGCACGCACAAACAGCATCAGACGGTACCAGTCTTCCACTCTTGTTGGTTTCAGGCTGTTTTTCAGCTTCAACTTTATATGCAATAAATCTGTTTTGAGACGTTCTATTACACAACATACCACCCTAAGCAGTCAGTTATGTAAGTCCTGTGGAAGGTGGGTTGAAAGGGCAAGGTATGAAGGCCAGAAAACTCAAGATCGCCCCAGCAGCCTGGATGGTTTTCCAGGTTCTTGAGTTGTCAGTTCACAGGAAATTACTTATAGACTAGAGTAATTGTTTTGCTCAAGGCGGTCACCAAGGTGAGAAGAAATGGAGACTTTCATTGCTTTCATTGATTGCAAGGGTTTGGCTATTTTGATTATCCTCTACATTTTAGTGTTTTCTGTACCCTTGAGGAAAACTGCAGCAAATTTTGAAAAGCCCTGAGCTATATACCACAAGAGCGGCACATGTAAAGCTCTAAAGAACGTTACAACTCTGACCGAGGTTTGACATGTATAATCAGAGATACTTGGAGAAAGAAACTCCAGCTGCTCTCCATGTTCAGTAGGGAAGCACAAGGCGTGTGTTTGCCTGTTCCTAGGGGTATGTGGAAGGATAATCCCATCAAAGAGCAGAATAAGGCTTCACTAACCACACAGACTGTCTCTGATACATCACAGCCGCTCACAGTGGATTTCACACACTAACATAATGAAACTGGGGGGTGTTTCATTTACGATGATGCAAACCTCAAGGGTTTATGTCTGTGCATCATGTCATGCAGGCCTGTAGTAAACCATTCCAGCATGTTTTTATGACCCTGGAAAGAAGTTCAACATAAAGAGCAGCTTGTAAAGCTTTCTTTATCTGAGCATGCCTCACCTCTGGACCACGGTATGGTCTGCCGTTGACGATCTCTGGGGATGCGTACAGTGGACTACCACAAAAGGTCTGGAGGAGCTTGTCTTTATGATACAGGTTGGACAACCCAAAATCAGCAATCTGAATGAACAACAAATACATCAGTGTTTGGTTTTAGAGAAATAATGCTAAACAAAAAGTTTATTTTTCTGTTTTACTTTTACTGAGTAAGTGTTTGCTTTTACAAGGAGTGATTTTTCAACATCCTGCTTTTTTTGTTTCATGAATGAAGCCCACCATTTCTTAATTTTTAAGTTCACATACTTGTATTTAAACACTACTGAGGTGGAGAAAATCTTTTGGAAACAGTACAGCATCCTTTCCATATACTATTTTGTGGGACGCACTAATCCTAATGTTGTATACTATATAGTTCACGGATGTGAAGTAAGATGTAGCCACAGTTTCAGAACCATTCTTACCTTTATGTTACAGTTTTCATCCAGTAGAACATTTTCCAGTTTCAGGTCTCGGTGAACAACACCATTCTGTAAAGAAAATGTCAGAATGCACTTCAGAGATCTGAGGTAATGCTGTCATAGCCAACAAAATCTTTATTAACCGCTGACATCTGTCCCACAAACACTCTCTGTAATTACAGTTCTGTTCAGACACCAGTTTTTGATTGGAACATGACTGTGCAGTTAGTCCTTGTGTTTCCTTTAAAGTAAGACACAGCATTCGGGTTATAGCACGCCCGGGAACCCAGTTACAAGGGTTTAGGATCTGAGAGAGTTTGTTACAGATGTCTGATGACCATGAAAGATGCATGTGTTCAGCATGCACAGTGTTTAGCAAATGAACTATAAATTGCCAGTTTGACAGGCTGCTTTCTTGAGGCGTCTGGCCGACCCCCCCTGAAAATCCCCCCACATTGTGGTTGCCCATGGCGATGATGACTCATTACCCTCCCCTCTGGTGTCTGGAAGCTCCCCTGCCCTGATATATGACAACACGTCATCTTCAGCTGCAAACCAGCCCACTCAGTGCAAGCCCACAGGGACCTTGATTGACTCAGCAATGCATCATGGGGGAATGGGACTGTCTTATCTGGAATTCTAGCTATGATTCATAACCTAGTAATCCGACTAATTAGACAGCATTTTGATACGCTTTTCAATTAGGTAGGTAGGTATCTGAATGCAATCCCATAATGCATTGTGCAAGCTCAGTGACAAAAAAATCCACCCAAAAATGGTGGACAAAACAAAAGAAACGTCATTTATAAATATAGGGTGAATTCAGGTAAATTGGGACACTTTTTGCCATTGAGATGACTGGGGAAATGTCCCAATTATCCTGAATTATGGTTTCAAACTCTATCGAAAAGACTTGAAAACAATCCATTTGTAAGAAACTGGAAAAGCCCTTATACACATACACAAGACTTCATGGAAATGTACAAATGGGTGGTTTATTACTCTATCAACAGCTCTGCTAAATGCTGAAATGTGTGACCCATGATGCAAAGCTGTTTCACATCAGTTGTCTATTCCAAGATTCCTCCCAATCTGACAAGAGCCAAAGATAACAGACTCGCACTGCACGGCCTGATTTCATCGAATAACTGCACGTGCAGCTCTGCGGGAAACCCTGTGAAGCAAGAGGCTCTCTCAGAGAAGAGAAAGGAATTGAGAAATAGAAAGAATGGAAAGGAGAGAGATAAGAGAGGTGCGTACCTTATGGCAGTAGTGCACAGCAGAGACGATCTGCCTGAAGAAGTGTCGGGTTTCTCTCTCAGTCAGGCGTCTGCGTTCGCTGATGTAGTCATAGAGTTCACCTTTACTGGCGTATTCCATGACAATCACTATCTTGTCCTTATTTTCAAACACTACAGAACAAAACAACATCGTGAAAATCTGATCAGTTTATTTATACCTTGTATGTTGATTCGTGATGTTTTATTTATATATGTTCATAATGTTTATTTAATGATCTGTATGCCAGATTGAAATCAGTATAAAAATGTTTTATTTCAGTTTGTAGTTAGCAGTATCATTTACAATAAAGCTGTTATATTGTCCAGTATTTTTATCCATAATGCAGTTCCACAAGTAAGTGGAAGTACGTCTCTAATAAAAGTTGAAAGAAATAGATAAGAAAAAAATCTAGATAAAGTTGTAGGCCTCAGGAATTGACCAGTTGGATAACGTGACCCATGTCTAGGTTACACAGGCCAAGGCTTCAACAGGGAGGCGTCCAGTCAAAATAAATGTACGGTGGCGCCTTGTTTCTTCAGAATGCAGCCCACAATGAAAAAGTACAAGTACAAAACTACTGGATGCGTAAAAATGAAAAGACTTTGTTTTGTAGTGGCCAGTCCAGAAAGTTCAGCAGGTCACAGTGGAATCCGTTAATGACCAGGAGAAGCTGAAAAATCCAGAGGAACAAACACAGCAAATTACAGTCCGACGCAGCAGAAAGTGGCTGTTTCTGCAAAACCCCAAAAATCCTCATACACATCACCCCACCCAAGCGTTTGGCGCTGCCCCTGGCTCCTGTCACACTTCCAGAATCGCTTCTCATCTTTTTACAGAATCTCTCCTGTCCGCCATCGCTTTCCGCAGAACAGCAGGGAATGCAAGTGCAAGGCCTTCTGGGATTGTGCAAATACAGTTTAGAGAGAGAGAGGGGTAACAAAGTTAACATAACACAGATTTACTGTGTCAGCGTAAATCAGAGTCTTCTCACAGTGACGCTAAATATCGGAGCTCAGCGCTAAATTCAACAGCGATATGCAGCCTGTAGGAAAGGAACATCCCAAATGAGATCATCTCAATTGTTTCTCCTAGATCACAGTGAGGTTAAATGCAACTAAATGGAGACTTTGCTCAAGTCTCCTGCTTCTCAGATGTTTCTCCCGAAAAAAAAAAAAGACCTCAAAATAGTCTGCAATCAAAAGTCAGAGATCTCAATATGAGCTTGAACATTTCTCATCTAATTTTATAGCTTTATTTTCTTACTGTATGTCAACAATTGTCTCATTTGTGAGGAATTTTAGGAGAATCAATGGAGAAACTTTTGATATCCGTGACTATAAGTCTCGTGAGCGATGAGTGAGCAACCTTCGAGTAATAAAAATATTCCTCTGGGAAAGTTCACGCAGCTAAACGGGTACGCAAGCAATTCATTCCTCTATCCAAAAATTTCCACGACCAGCCCAAACTCATAAACATAATTTAACACCGCACAAAATTAAAAGAGAAAGACACTCTGACATTAGAGCAATGAAAGACAAAGCCAGACACGAGAAAAAAAGGAGTCTCCGGAGACTCATTTAAAGAGGTGTTCTCCCCTCTTTGAGTCAGGCCAACCACAATACAGGCGAAGTCATGACACAGAACAAAGATGAATACGGTAACTCTTCAAAAATAAACTGCCCTATAAACCCAGACGGACTTTGAGCGGAAAAACGTCGAGTCAGCGCACCGAGAGCTCGCCAGGCCCGCCGTGGCACAGAATCAGCAGAACAAACCAGACGGCTGCAAAAATGGCTTTAGAAATTATCAACACAGAATTTCACCGGAGATCGTAACCACTGAAACACATGCTGGTCAGGAATGGGGAGCATCATATTCACTGAGGCTGATCTTTAATTTGAATGTTATTGCATGAATAGAGCAAAAACCTTTTACTGTCCTTCACAACACAAGTCTATCAATAGTTAATGAAAGATTATTCATTATTTATTAGAATTGTATGTTTTATTTATTGCTGAGTTTGAATGGATGGATGGATGGATGGATGGATGGATAGATAGATAGATAGATAGATAGATAGATAGATACCTTCATATATTGAGATGATATGTGGGTGGCGAAGAGACGACATGATCTCGATTTCTCTTCGAATGTGAACCATGTCCTGTTCATCTTTAATCTTCTCCTTCCTGATAGACTTGATGGCAACCTGAAGAGAAGAAAGATTTACAGTTTCAATCTTGTCAAAAAGAATAAAAATGTTTATCAGAGTATTTGTAAAAGATGCTAATTTTGGTCAATTTGTGACTAAATCAAATATTTATCTTAGTAATTTTATGCCACTTTTTTGACAGGAAACGACTCAAGTTAGCGTAAAACTCACATTGCCAGGATTAGCACCACAGCTTACCACTTAGCCGCGGCTCTGACAAAAACATTCTATTTCTGAATGTCAGAAAAACACCTGAGTAGATTCTTCAGACAGAGGTGTAATCATCCCATCACACACACGCACACACACAGAATTATCCCATAAACACATCACGGCTGAGCATATTTTCAGTCTCCTGCTATGTAATTTTCCTGATGTTTTTTAGGAAAATGAGGGTGCAGTGTTTGGAAGCGGAATGAAAGCTCTCATGGGCCCTGAGGACACTGCACTGATGTCTCTATATGATCACATGATGACCTGAACAGGCTCCAGTATGTATGGAACCCCATTTCCGCCACTGAATAAAAAATAAAAAAGCTAATTGAAACTTTTAATCTCACAATTCTGACTTTTTTTCCACAATTGCGAGTTTACATGTCATAATTCTGATTTAATTGTTCTCAGAATTGAAAGTGAAACTGATGTGATGTGCAGCCAAGTATGGTGTCATACTCGGAATTTGTGCTCTGCATATAACCCATCCAAGTGCACACACACACAGACAGCAGTGAGCAGTGAACACACACACACCATGGACACACACCCGGAGCAGTGGGCAGCCATTTTTCTTGCGGCGCCCGGAGAGTAGTTGAGGGTTTGGTACCTTGCTCAAGGGTCTCACCTCAGTCGTGGTATTGAAAGTGGAAGAGAGCGCTGTGCATTCACTCCCCCCACCTACAATCCCTGCCGGTACCAAAATTCGAACCCGCGACCTTTGGTTTACAAGTCCATCTCTAACCATGCCACGACTGTCCCCATTGGCCCAGTTGTGAGATATATACTCACAATTGTGAGTTATAAAGTCAGAGTTGCCAGATATAAACCTGCAATTGCGAGGAAAAAATGTCAGAATTGTGAGATAAAGTCACAACTACCTTTTTTATTTTTGACTTAATTTCTCAGAACTGCAAGTTTATATCTCACAATTCTGACTTTAAAATACGCAATTCTAACTTTATAACTCGCAATTGCAAGTTTATATATCAGAATTGCGAGTTTATGTCATGCAATTGTGAGAAAAAAAGTCAGAATTGCGAGATTTAAACTTGTAATTACGAGAAAAAAGTTAGAATTGTGAGATAAAAAGTTTTCATCATTCACATTACTAAAATTCATGGAAATAATCAAACAATATATTTCTGTATTGTTTAAATATAAATACATTTAATATAATGTAAAAAAATAAAGGCCATGATGTTCCACACTCAGTTCCACTGGAGTTTTAGAACTCCAAAAAAGACCATTCTAGAACTGGAGATGATGTGGGCAAAGAGGAGATGCCCTATTGACTGACTAATGGATGATATCATGGGGAGGAAAGAGGAAATGATATCTGGGTAGTGATTTCCTGTCTATTTCTGTCCTATCTCACCCTCCCAGGCGTGTGCTACAGGTCCATTTAAAGAACAAATGGAACAATGAGTGAGCTGATGACAAACCTTAGCTGGAAAAGAGGAAGCCCTTTGTCAATTCCTTTAGTTTTATGATGTCATACCTACAACGATTGTCCCTAAAACATGTCTATCCGCTCCTCGATGTAGATTCTCATCATCGCCCGCAGTTCTCAGAACAGCCCGTGTCTTCACATTAATGGCGAGCGAGCAGGCGGACCGCCGCTTTTCTCCGAGAAACCAAAACCACATGTTTCCGAGGAGCTGAAGGTAAATCACTGACTACATCCATAAAAGGAAAGTCCTAGCGGAATGCTTCAGAACTGATTATGTGGAATAAAAAGACATAAACAAATCCAGAATCCAGGGCCCGTTCTCTAAAAGCCGAATGGGCAAACCCTGCTCTTTATTGGAAAGCCATCAGCAAGTGTTTTCCATGAGCTCATGAATTTATGTGCAGCTGAAGGTATTCACCTCCCGCCAGGTCCGCTGGAGACGGCATGAATACTAATGCTGCAGTTTGTTCAAACGCAGCAGGAGCGAGAGTTTAAAATAATCTCCAGGAAGAAAACAAAAATCACAGCTTTCCCACAGAGGTAGAAACAGGATTCTGACCAGCGGAGCTTTTTATTTGCTCATCTGTATGCGAGCCAAATTAACAGAATACAGCATGAATAAAAAGGCAGATGAGTTTTTCTATTTCATTAATGGGGTTTGCAAAGAGAGGGATTTGAACTTTGTTACGTAACATGATTGATACCTCTAAACTTGTAGTGTAGAGGTATGCTACTTTTTTATTAAATAAAATGAAAAAAATTGGGGGGCATGCTTTTTTGACGCCATGTGCTTTTTTTGACCATGTAGCAATCTCCCCAGGCAACATAGCAATCACCCCAGACACCCTAGCAACCAACTCAAACGCCCTAGCAACCACCTCAAATGATCTAGCAATCACCCTAAATGCCCTAACAACCATCCTAGTAAATACCTAGCAACCACCCCAAATACCCTAGATACCATCTAACAATCACCCCGGATACCCTAGTAGAAACCACCTCGAACACCCTTGCAATTATGTGGAATGCCTTAGCAACTACCCCAAAACCCTGACTACCACCCTAGTAACCACATAAGACCCCCCAAACACCCTAGCAACCTCCTAGCAGCCACTTCAAATGGCCTATCAATCATCCTGAATGCCATAAAAACTACGCAAAACCCTAATAACCACTATGGGTGTGCGATAATGACAGAAAATGATATCTCAATATTTTCTGGAATTTTGTCGATAACGATAATTAGACTATATTTTGCTGTGCGTGTTATTGTGCTGGTATTTTGGCAGGTTTAGGACTGCTGTGGACAGCTGACTCCCAAAGCTTTTGATATTCTTTGTATTCTGTGTGGTGGTTAGTTTGCAGGAGTAACAGAAATTAACTTTTCCAACAAGTTAAAATAGCTTTTTACCTATTATAGGGCTGTTATCAATCAGTCAGTACAAATCAATCATTATCAACAAAATTTTTGTTTTCAATGCAGAGGTGACACAGAATCTGCTTCTGTGGCATTTAGATGCATTCACAAAGACTGTTTAATGCAGGACATGAATGCAGTTAACCTGCAGTTACAAATGCATAAATAATGTTTTGATGTTTTAAAAACAATACGTTCAATTGTGATATTTGAAATGATTTTGGGGGAAAAAGGGGAAATATACACTTTAAATATAAACCTAAAATCGCCAGTAGGTGGCAGCAAATCACTGAGTGAGTCCTTAATTCATTCATTCAACCGATTCGTTCCAACGGCTGATTGATTCGGTACCAAAACATCGCCGTGTGTTGCTCAGAGACGCAAAACAGTTCTGCTGTGGCTTTGTTTGAAACTATTTTTGTTGACGAAATAGAGCAAAGGCAGGAACTTGTGTCTAACTTGTGAGTCAGTTAATATTAACTTCTTGTCTATTATTTAGTTTAAACAATTACGATATTATCGTAGAAGATATATATTGCACACCCCTAACAACCACCCAAGTAACCTTCTAGCAACCACCCCAATAGCCAAGGTACCATCTAGCAATCCCCCCGGACACACTAGTGACCACCACAAATGCCCTAGCAAGCAATCGGCCCAAAACCCTAACAGCCACCCAGGTAACCAGTAATGACCTAGCAACCACCCAAGCACCCTAGCAACTACATAGCAATCAGTATGAATACCCTAGCAACCTCTTATCAACCACCCAAAACCCTAACAACCACCTAGCAATTAGGGTTGCAAAGGGGCGACAAATTTCCGGAAACTCTCTTAATTTCTTTGCAACTGAATGTCATGAACATCTTGGATGACATGGGGGTGAGAAAATTATCAGGAAATTTTTATTCTGGAAGTGAACTAATCCGTTAAAACCCACTACACTTTAACAGAATGTTTTGGCCTCCATACAGGATATTAATTTTCCATAACATTTTCATTTCCTGTTCAAGATGGACTTTCAATTGTGTGTCTGCTTTCGCACTGTCACAGTGACCTTTTCACACACAGACGGACAAGTGTGTACAAACACACACTCACACAGACATGTGACCAATTCATCACACACTGTGGAAGGAATGCTGACCGATATGTGGACATCCGATCTTGTTTGAACATTCAGATTCACACAAATGCAATGCAAACACAAGCTCATATGTGCGAGAGCTCACACACACATGCTATCAGTCTGTCTGCTTGGGTCATTATGGTGAATCTGAGGCTGGTAAAGTCATAAAGAAGAATATGTTACACAATTTCTTTGGTTATCTGTGCCTTAGGGGTAGAGGTCAGGAATATGCCATTCTGGATTGTAGCATATATCAACAGTCAGAACCTTCTGTTTGTCTGTGTACGTGATAACAAACAGTAAAGCTTTATCACGGCAGAATGAACCTTACGTTCAGCAACAGAGTTTGTTTGTTTAGCAAGGGACATCACCTAGAGGAACTAAACTAAATATGATATGAGTTGAACATAATGGCCCAGAGGAATATTTTATTGCTTTTATTTTATTTAATGTTTGAAGGTATGCAAGCTTAATTAAGTGTGTTATTGAATTATTCAGAGCTATTCATAACACAATCCAAGTATGCAAACGCAAACGCTTCTAGGTACGCAAGCTCTATTTCAAACGTTGCATTAAAAAAACGGAATGCAAATGCAAGTATGTGAACACAAACTCTTCTAAGTACACAACTGCAATTTCCAAAAATCGTCAGAGCACTATTAACACAACGACACAAAAGTTTGCAGGAATGCAAGGTCAATTAAGTGCGTTGTTGCATTATTCAGTGCTATTCATAACATAATGCACAAGTATGTGATTTTAAACGTATAATGTAGGTACGCAAGCTCACTGTTACGCTGCAAAATTAGAACAGAATTCGTAAGACAATGCAAGTATGCAATTACACTTTTAGATATGCAAGGTTGATTAAATGAGTCATTGCATTCTGCATTGCATTCAATTGCTATTCATTACAACACAACTATGTGAATGCAGCCGTGTCGCAAAGTTTGTCAGAATTCAATTATTAATAATGCAGTGCAGTAACTCTTCTTAGTACGCAAGTGTGATTTCACATGTTGTCGCATTCTGAAATGTGTCAGATGACTGTGTAAACAATGCAAGCAAAAACATTCATGTTTTGAGAGTTTGTACGTTGAGAGATTTTACGTTATGCAGTACTATTGATAACACAATGTAAGTATGCGAATAAAAGCAAACTCTTCTAGGTACGGAAAGTCGTACTGCAATTCAGAATGCAAATCATAACGCAATGCAAGAAAATGCAATGCAACACAAGCAGAAAAAGTACAAATGTTTCAAGGTAGACAATGTCGATTTTGCGAGTTTTTGCGTTATTCAGTGCTATTCATGACGCAATGCAAGTATGCAAAAACAAATGTTTCTGGCTATACAAGTCCTTTTTCAAATATTGTTAGGCTAGAAAATGAGAATGCAATTTATAACTCATTGCAAGTATGTAAACGCAACGACCCTTAGATAAGCAAAGTCAATTTAATGCAGCGTTGCATTCGAACTTGTTTCAAAATGCTATTCATAACAATACAAGTACATGAATGCAAATGCTTTGTATGCAAGCCCATTTTAAAACGTGTTGCAAAAATGTGTAATGCAAGTATGTAAATATGCAAGTATGCAAGTGTGAAGTCACACTAAAATGTGTCAGAATGCAATTTATAACGCAATGTGAGTACACTGCATTCTCAGCGATGCCACAAAGGGGCGCTAATGCTTCTTTTGTGTTTCACAGAAGAAAGTAAGTCATAGAGGTTTGGAACAACATGAGCATGATGAAATGTTTTCAAAAATGTACATTTTTGAGTGAACTATCACATATAGGAGAAAGAATCAAAATACTGCAGTGTTGTACGTGTGTAGGTGTGTTTTAAGACTCTGTGATGTCTAATGTTTAGTCTCTGGCAGTTACCAGTGGTTTCTAAGTCTGTTATCTATACGTATGTCCTATAACTCTTTACAGACAGTGCGTCCGGCCAGTTAAAAGTTTTTCTGACTAATTCCTGCTAAGCACACTAAACCCATGCCAGAAAACAACACCATATGTCTTCCTGAGTGACTTTATTTTTATGGGCCCAGAAACACGCATGACAAATTATGTTTTACCATGCATCTGAGTTTGAGGTAAATGAAAAACATGTATGTGTAGTGTGTGCACTGTTTTATTTTTAGGTCTGTTAGCATGCGCTCATACTTTCTTCAACAGCCTGCCAACACTCTGATGGCACACTGCCCACCGATACACTCAGACCTGTGTGTGTGTGTGTGTGTGTGTGTGTGTGTGTTTATATGGCTGTATGAGTTGTGAAATAGCCTGGATTGTAAATTATTAAACTACAAGAAGGCTATATATCTGCTTCCAGACCATAACAGCCACCAACAACAGTGTTTCCATGGAAATATACATGACTGGAGGGCATTTCAACTGCTAGAATGGATTGCAGATATTTTTTTCAAGTAAAAAACAAAGCTAAATGCTTTCATAGTACAGTCATTCATAGTTAGCTTTCTGCATTTTTTGTCTTCAAAAGCTGTACATCCAATCAAATTATACTGTATTTTGATGCAAATTCATCAATCACTTGGTACAATCTAGTCAAATCAGCCAGATGCTGATGTTTTTTTTCTCAAAACAATGAACAAATCTACTCAAGGTGAAGAATTAGCAACTAGCTATTTTTAACAAAACTGCACCCCACTGACTTTCAGAGAATGGACCAAAAACACTGAGACGTTTTTTTTTTTTTAAGATATCTTTTGTGCTACTCTAGAATAAAGAGTTGAACAGATTTGGACTGACATGAAGGTGACTAAATGACCAAATTTTCATTCTTGGTGGGACTTTGGCAGAACAGAAAGATTTCTTTCTCCTAGCAGCTGTTCCAGGTTCTGTGGTGACTGAGACATTTAGAGGACAATGTTAAACAGCAACCAAAGCCACGTGCCGTAGTGTGCCGAATGAATCCGGTATGTTTGATTAATGAACAAACGAACACTAAAGCCCTGCCTGACCTAGATGCCCACAGCAGAATTTCTAAGTCAGAGTTCATTAGTGACCCGAGGGTCAGAACTCAAGGTCTTTAACACATATGGTGCTGATTGCATCATTATTTACTGCAAGCGGTCAGCAGTGACCTTTGAACCGAACTGCAACCAAGACGGACAATTAGTTAAAGCATGATGCGTTACATTGGGGGCCATTAGAGCAACTTTACAGGAGATTTAAAACATCTGCTCCTGCACAAGCAAATTCCCATGAGATGGACCGAAATAAGACAAACACAACTACAGATTATTATAGCAGAGCTGACACTGTAAACGACAAATTACAGCCGGCCCAAGATCCAGGCCAGTTCTTTATTCATTTACCATAAGATTCATTGATTCAGAAGTTCAATCACTCGTATACATCTATGTATCATGGCATTTCCTTCAGATGTTACCATAGTACTACAGTCATTTTCAACTAAAGGTCAAGTATCTTGCAGGGATTGAACCTACAACCTTCTGGATAGCAGTTCTGATATATAACCACTACATTAGATTGATTTATTTAACAGATGCTTGAAGCTCTTACCTCTATTCCAGAATGGCGCTCGATGGCTTTCTTGACTTTGCCATAGGTTCCTCTCCCCAGGGTCTCCAGCAGCTCGTAGCGATGCTTCAGGTTGTGTTTGTGATGATGTTTCTTCACACCAGAGCTGCTGCGTTTGACCTCACCGGGGCCCTCAGGGGCTTCCGTCACCACTGAGGGGCCCGGCGAGTCACCTGGCCTTTGTGTCTCCATCACGCCGGAGGATGATATTTTACACCTCCCTCTATGTTTAAATATCTTGACTAAATGCTTTGGAATATTGATAATATAAATCTAATTAATATAGCTAATTAGCATATAAATAAATAAATAAATTACAATGCAAAGGTTTATTATGTTAACATATAAACTAATTTATGATTGTCAAAAATTACTCATATTTAAATGAGGTGTCTATCTATTCTACCTATAACCGGCTATGGTAGGCTATCTAAAAGAAAATAATAATCCCAGTCTAATTATGAACGATAAAACAGGGCTATGAACGGACTAAATAGGCATTATATTAAAAAGAAACTAATGAACACGTGCCATGTGGTTTTATGGCACTTATGAACTGCTACAATGTATCATTCACAATTAGAACGACAATGTATCTATTGTGCATTAATCTATTATGACGCGTTCTATACCATTGTGACGTATCCTACTCCGTTATGACGTGTTCTCTTTCCCGTGGCGCGTTCGATCATGATTTCTCCGTTATTCCTTTGTTTCAATCTACCGCAGAAAATCTCAGGTGAGAAAGCAGCGACCACGCCGGCGTTCTGGACGTAAATCACCCTCATTCTGGCCTCGGATCCGCCGTGGTGTCAGTCAGCTCGGTTCTGGTGCAGGTGATCCGTGATATGAGGCTGGGTGCGCGGGGATCGGACGGAAGGATGTGCTGCGGTCTCGTGTCTGCTGTGGCCATGGTTCGGTGTGTTCGGCCCGTCTCTCCTCCTGGTGTCCTGATCTGTGATTCTTTCTCTCTGTCCTCCTTCAGATTGAGAAACACTGAATAAAGACAAAGGGGGCGGAGTCACGCCAGTGTGTGTGTGTGTGTGTGTGTGTGTGTGTGTGTGTGTGTCTCACTCTCTGTCTCTCTCGCTCTCTCTGAATGTGTCTTACTCTGATTTTCTGATTCTGTTTTACTAGAGTGAAAACAGAAAGGTAAAGTGTCATTTTTTATATTAATATACTGAATTCTCTGATTTATGCAGAGAATATAATACACACTGTATATAGAATGCATACAGTAGGCTAGATATGCTTATGTATATATATATATATAACATTTTAAATTTGTACAATTAAAATGTACTTAATATGTGTGTGTGTGTATACTGTATGTATGTATACACACACACACACACATATATATATATATATATATATACAGGCTTGGCTTGACTTAAAAGAAAATGAGCAGAATATACTGTGTGTGTGTTTGTGTGTGTATATATATATATATATATATATACAGGCTTGGCTTGACTTAAAAGTAACTGGGGCATTAACATACATGCAAGTATTTTTTTTTTCTTCTTTTTAATTAAAAATTAAAAAAACGTTTTTTAAAAAGATAAATTCCATGTATACTTTAACTTTATTTTACCTATTCTTTATTTTTTTTATTATAATTAATGTCCAGTTAATGCCCCATTTACTTTAAGTTAAGCTAGTCCTTAATTTATTTTAAAATAAACATTTATTTAAATAATCAAAAGCAAAATATTTTAAGATTTTGTTTTTTAATTTTACCATTTTATTTCTAATAAAATTATTTCCAATCACTTTAAGTCAAGCAAAACCTGTATTTATTTATTTTGAATAAATAAAAACTATACATTTTTATTTTTTGCCACTTTATTTCTCTGCATTTTTCCAATTTTTATTTCTCAGCATTATGTATTTATTTACTTATTTATTGATTTTTGGGAGTTCTTGCCTTTTTATATAAAACTGAATCAACATGCATGGAGCACTTGAGCTCTGATGCAAAATCAGCCATAATTTGCATAGAAACTGTTTTGCTATTTGTTCAGCATGGAGTCAGATTCATTTGAATAAGCGTTTAAAGGTCTAAAAGCAAATGTCTATTGTATTTCATGACTTAAAGCGGCAAACATGCCTTCAGCTTTTTTCATGAGCCAAATGTTGCCACATGTCCTGGGTTATGGCCCTCATAAATAAACCAGTAAACTTTGGTCAAGTTTAGCGGACCTGAAATAACCAAACCGAGATGTACAGATTAAACTCTTCTGATGCAGCTGAGTAGTATATTTCTGCAGAATACATCACCTGCAGCTCAGACGCAGTCAGACATGCCTGAAACCTCACCCTGCACACTCTGCCTCAGCCAATCAGCTTTGTTTTCTTTTGTTTGCTTCTGTTTGGATCCTGCATGGTGTAATTTAGCCACTGATTGGGGAAGTTTGAGTCAAACAGACTCCAGACTGAGCTGTTTGTCTTTGTTTGATCTGGAGATCTCTGGGAATCTGGACGGTCCTGTGTTGCGGTGAGTGTTCGGGCAGCGGACTTCAGACTCGAGCAGTAACTGTGTGCATGTGTGTTGCTCCAAGATTTGCATCTCAGATGAAATTTGGCCTCAGATGCACCCTGGAATCAGGTACCAAGGGAGACAAAAGGCCCCCTAGTGGTGGAAATGCATGTGTAGGTCACAATTATTCAGCTCAGCATCCCAGAGCATCATGGCTCTTAATATATTACAAACTAATTCATATCATCCAAATGTTTGAATCAACAATATTTGAATCAGAATTTGTTTCTTTGATTCTCTGAATGTTTTCAATTCAGACATTTTGAAAAGCTTTTGTTTTTATATGTGTGTCCTTTCAAAAGCAAAATAATGATCTCATAATGTATAGAAAGTATTTTATTAAAATTCTACTAGATTCCCTCTCTAACCTGTACTGTGTGATTAACAGTACTGAAAAAATGATGGAACAAAGATTTCAAACAAAAGGACTGCTGAATTATTTAAATGCTAGCATTTCCCTGGTCCTTAGATATGTTATGATTTTATTTTTCTCTTTGACATCAAACAAAGATTTGTTTTAAGATGTTTCATTCAGGTATTTGCAGCCCCTCGGGCATCTGGCAGAGTTTTTGCCACAACTATTTCAAGTTCACCATAGAAACCTGCACAGAAACATTCCCTACACTCAACAAATTAAAAACAGCAGAAACCACAAAGTACAAAGAAAGACGTGGGGTGTGTGTGTGAGAGAGAAAGCGACTGAGGTGACCACAGAGAAACGCAGATAACAGAATGGTATATTACCAGCGTTTGATCATAGGTCAGACAGCTGCCTTCTCCAGCGAGAGTGTGCTTATGTGTGAGCCTGAATGTGATACACAAACACATCCCTCATTTCAAATGATGACATAAGAGATCAATCTGCCTCAGACACAGAAAACAGAAACAGCTGCCAAGAAGAGGACACAGAAATAAACCTATAGAATATTACAAACAATAGACAGACAGACAGATAGATAGACAGACCGACATAGGTAGGTAGGTAGGTAGGTAGGTAGATAGATAGATAGATAGATGGGGTTGCATTGAGGGATACAGTAACCACTATATTATACTTTAGTTGTATACTGCACATTTTGTCACATTTAGTAAGCCTAGATAAATTTGCTTGATAAATTTAATTCTGATGGGGTTGCATTGAGGGATACAGTAACCACTATATTATACTTTAGTTGTATACTGCACATTTTGTCACATTTAGTAAGCCTAGATAAATTTGCTTGATAAATTTAATTCTAAATAATCTGCATAATGTATGCAGTATTTCAACTGCATACTCAAGATACAGTAGACAGTATGATAGTGTGCTGATCCAAATGCAGCCTCGTTTATTTAAAGATGCTTTGCTGCTATCTAGTGTTGTATTTGGGTATTGTGTTTTGCACTAATTTTCACTGGTTCACTGTTAGCCAATCATGCAGAGGTCGCTAATGAGCTGCTGTTGATTAATGAGAAGGCTTGATGAGTGTGTCACATCTGCAGAGGAAACGAATGCATGGCTTCAGTTCAGGATAAAGTTGCTGCATTAAATATTGTAGGGAAATTATACAGTCCCCTCAACCAACCCCTTGGTAACATCTGTTTTATGACAGTTTTAAGGTAGTGCCATTTCATTTAAAGCACTTAAGAGCACAGTAAAAAAAACGTGTTTTTTTTTTCTCAGATCATAGATTGCTCAACAAACATCAAGATGTACAAACCAACAAGGTTCAAAACAAAGAAATCTGGAGCCACATCATCGCTGCTCTACAAGCCCAAGTGAAGGTCAAGAAACGCAGGCAACATCTGAAATCTCATGATAACTGCTTTCTGGGCTCTGATGCAGTGGATGTTATTCAGGATTATCTGACCCAGAATAAGGTTTTTGGAGATGCCCAGGCCTCCAGAGCCACGGTGTCACGACTGTGCCAGGTGCTGCTGGACTGTAAGGTGTTTGAGGCGGTGGGAGCCAAAGTTTTGGTGAAGACCAGTAAAACAGGAGGCTTCCAGGACAGCAGCAGCAGCCTCTACAGATTCCTGAAGGATCCGTCACTGGATGTGTTGGAAATGGCGCTCTTCCCACCAAGTGAAGAGAGTCTGATGAACATCACACCATGCAGGTGTTTCAGATCACTGTAGATGCTTTTTGATGTAGCACTGAATGTTTTTCTTTTTTCTTACATTTGAATTATAATATTTGATCTTTTTAGGCAGGACATCCTGTTATTCTCCCATAGTACACCTGTGAAACCAGACCACGTGTTGGATCGTCTCATGGAGAAGCTGGACTTGACCAGACTTGTCGGTTCTCCTCCCACTGATTGTCTTCCTCCATCTGGTAAGAGCTTTGTTCAGATTCTGCTGATGTTTGAGGTACAAAGGCTGTGTTTGTAATATACTGTAATCTACCAACTATTTTTCATGTTGCATGTTTAATTCAGTGAATGGTGTCGAGCTAACAAAAAACAAGCTAAATGGTTATCTTTAAAAAAAAATTAAATCATATTTTGTTTCAAATAATTAAAGTTTGTCTGCCTCCAAGAAAAAAAAAACTAGCTTATTTTAATCTATCTCATAATTATCTTGCGTAATATACTTTTTTTTTCTCTTTTTTTTTTTAAATTTCGTTTCGACTTGTTTTCATTTTGACTTCACTTTAAATGGTCTCATAATCATCTTTAACTCTAAGGTGGCAACATTATTTATTTATTTATTAAATTTTGTTTAAACAAATTAAGGCTAGTATGCCTCAACGTTTAAAAAATTTTATAATTTTTATCTCATAATCATCTTTAACTCTGAGGTGGCAACATACAGTAGCATGCATATTGCAATATATATTTTTTGATCCAGTTTTGTTAAATATCTAAAAGCTTATGCCTCAAAGTTAAAAAAATTAAAATGGTTATTTTGACTTGAACTCTTTAACGGCAACATAGTAAGCATATATTTAAATGTTTAAAACAAATGTAGCTAATCAAATATCATTTCAAATATAATTTTTGTCTTTTTATTTCTTAATTTATCAATTATTTTAAACTCTGAGGTGGAAATATAAATTATTGCAGTTATAAAAGTATACATACTGTATTGTGGGAATATAGTAGATAAAAATATAAACTCTTCATTGGCACTTGAGCCTGTTGCATGTTTAATTCCACAAGTAGAGTCATGCCGTAATGATTATTTTGTTAAGATTTTGAACTCTGATCAAATAATGAGTCAATAAAAAGTGATATTTTGCAAAGTGCAATGAATACAGAAAGTACTGTGCACAGTATGCATATTGCAAATATAGTAGACAACTGAGAAAAGCCTAGGTGGAACCTTAATAATATTGATATGAACTCCTTCAGTGGTCAGAGAAGTGTGGCAGGAGCAGACCATACGGAGGTTGTCTCAGCTGATAGATCTCCCCCTGCTGGAGGGAGTGCTGAACTGCACAAAGATTGTTTCTCCCCCATCTCGTGGCAGTAATAATGCCCCTGACCTGCTCTACACCAGCAACTACCTCGACCGAGAGGTTCTCAAAGCCTTCAAAGAATCACAGTGAGACATCTCCACATTTAAACTCAAGAAATCAAACAATGAGGCTCAGACAGACCTAACTAGTTTTCCTGCACCCAGAGCTGATGTTTGGCTGTCAGCAGCCATCGACCTGCTGGATTTCCTTCCGGATCAGCTTGTGGTGGAGGTGAGCAGAGAACTACCCACGTTCTCCTGTGAGGAAGAGGGTGGCCAGAGCATGGATGACTGTAAACTACTGCTGTTTCATGTACTGGACAAACACTACGGACATGTGGAGCGCAAGCCTCTCCTCTGTGACAGCATGGCAGACGTCTACACTGAGATCATGGAACTCCTGAGTGAGTAACGCTCCTCAAATGATGCGTTCTTTCCAAAAAAACAACCTTTCTTTGTGGCAATTTTTCTCTGTTTACCTGTGTATATATAGTGAATGGGAAGTTTGAACGAGTGTTAGAAGTCCTGCAGCTGACACTGAAGCTGCTGTCTGCGTCTGCACGTGAGGAACTGCGCAGGCTGCTGGAGTTTATGGCCGCAGCTGCAGATGCTGCAAATGTCAAGCTGCACAAAGAAGTGAGGAGTCATAAAGCACGCAATGAGTTATTCACACAAATGTCAACTGTTTACACTTATTTCGAACTGTCAGATTGAAAACCGGGTGGTTGTGAAGAAGACGTTCACCAGAGCCGTCATCCAGAGCAAGAGTCTGACGAAAGGAAAGACAGACCTGCTCATGCTCTTCATGCTTGACAACCACCAGGAGATCTTCAAGGTTTCTTCTTTTTTTTTAATGAATTAAGACAATACTGATCAATAATGATATAATACAGAAATAATTAGTTGTGGCTGTTGTACATCATCCTACTTCCTTTAATTAGATTCCAGGGTCTCTTCACAAACTGGTCAGTGAGAAGCTGGATGACATTGTGAAACACAAAGATTCTTCCACAACTGGTATGATATTTACGGTGTTATTTTAGCATTCATATATTTCAGTTAATAATTGCAGTTAGTAATTTTAGTGCTTCAACTTGCACTTCATTTTTCATTTGTGACCCTGGACCACAAAACCAGTCATAAGGGTCAATTTTTTTGAAATTGAGATGTATACATCATCTGAAAGCTGAATGAATAAGATTTCCATTGATGTATGGTTTGTTAGGATAGCACAATATTTGGCCGAGATACAACTATTTGAAAATCTAGAATCTGAGGGTGCAAAAAAATCGCCTTTAAAGTTGTCCAAATTAAGTTCTTAGCAATGCATATTACTAATCAAAAATTAAGTTTTGATACATTTACGGCAGGAAATTTACAAAATATCTTCATGGAACATGATCTTTACTTAATATCCTAATGATTTTTGGCATAAAAGAAAAATGGATAATTTTTACCCATACAATGTATTTTTGGCTATTGCTACAAATATACCCCAGCGACTTAAGACTGCTTTTGTGGGCCAGGGTCACATTTAAAGTTTTCCATCTAATATTTTTTTTTATTTCAGCTCTATTTTATTTGCATAGTATTGTAGCTTTTATTAATGTTTTTTTAATTGGCTTTTTCATTTAAAAAAAAAGGCTATTGCTAAAAATATACCCCAGCGACTTAAGACTGCTTTTGTGGGCCAGGGTCACATTTAAAGTTTTCCATCTAATATTTTTTTTTATTTCAGCTCTATTTTATTTGCATAGTATTGTAGCTTTTATTAATGTTTTTTTAATTGGCTTTTTCATTTAAAAAAAAAAATATTATTTAGGTTTTAGTTATTTTAATACAGTTAGTCATTTTGATTCATATATATTTTATTTCATATTTATTTTAATTAACAAATGGTTTGATTTAGTTAACAGTAATAACCATGCATATTTATATAGTACCATTTAACCTAACTATGATAATAATAAAGTGTCAAGTGGTTTGAAGTATTTGTCTTCTCTTGTTATGTTAGATACCCCGTTTTGTCAGCGAGTGCCAAGAGACACGTACACCGAGACCACAAAGGACTCAACTAAAAATGAGCTGTACTCTCTCTTGAAAAACATTGATGAAAACACCAAATATCCCCTGAAAGAGAAGAAACGACTCCTGGCGCAGTTTTATAAGGGTCATCCAGACATCTTCATGCAGTATTTTGGGTCTAGACTGAGCACACTAAACCTTCTTGAAGTTTAAGTTCACTGTTTTTTTTGTTTGTTTGTTTTTTTGTATCCAAATAAATAAAAATAAACATTTAAGTGTCAAATAAGAATGGAGTATGTGTCTTTAAATAGTCTAAATTTAATATTCTACCTTCTTAGTGGGAAAATTGTTATGGATAGGGCCTATGCCTCATAAATAAACTGAAAAGACTCCGATAGAAGTCTGAACGTTACACAGAAATGAGTTGTTATATAATCATATTATACACCAAAAAACGTGTTAAAATACGAAATGCAGCAGCCTGTCATATATTAAGACAGAAATCATATTTTGCTGGTTTTAAAAGGAACTTACTCCGATAGAAGTCTGAACGTTACACAGAAATGAGTTGTTATATAATCATATTATACACCAAAAAAACGTGTTAAAATACGAAATGCAGCAGCCTGTCATATATTAAGACAGAAATCATATTTTGCTGGTTTTAAAAGGAACTCAAACTCAAGTTGTGAGCAACTCTTTTATCGCTATACTAGCCTTTTCGTTCTTTATTAAAGTTTTGTAATAGCCCATATATTATTTGTGATTCATTTGTTTTGTACTGAGGTACTTATAGTTATGTCGTAAGTATTTTTTTAATCTTTATTACATTTGCGAAATGTCTGAAAGCCATTACAAACATCACCTTTGCGCTTTCGTCGCGTCCTGTGCCTTTAATACTGATGCATTTCCAGAAGCCGCTGTGGCTCCGCCCATTCTTTAGCGTTACAAACTCTGATTGGCTCTTCACTCCTAGACAGACAAAAGCTCGTCCAATCAGCGTCTGATGGGTCGAGACACGTCAATTAGAGCGGAGTGCGCTTCCAGCGCCTGTTCTCAGATCAGTTGGTCGTGCGCACAGCGTCGGGTGTTCCTACAGCGAGTAGATTTACTTAACTGTTCCTGGATCAGCTCTAGGGTTCAAATCTCGCCCCGGGGTTGAGACTGAATTCCGGGCGCAGCTCAAATCTCCTCCCCGGATGCCCCAGAAACCCTAACACAGTTATTGCCACACATTCAGTTTTTTTCGGGTTGTTCATGGTGCGGAGCTGCGAGAGGAGGATGAAGTTTTTGGTGGCAGTCACATTGATCGTTGGCTCGGTGATTTTCCTGCTTTTCCCGAGCGGATCGGAGGCGGATGAGAAGAAAAAGGGACCCAAAGTCACGGCCAAGGTACAAAAACGCTGCGCCGTATCTGGCCTATTGCACTATTTCTAATGTTACGTGTATACTTAAATTCAGCGTGCCAGATTCGCGTAGTCTATTTCTTTTTGCTTGAAAACCATCTGTATGTTTAGTTTTGTTTTTTTTCTACATTTGCATTTACCAATTTTCATTGGTTTTGTGCAAAATACACTATTATAATAAGGCCTGTAACACTGCACAAGTGTTTCATAGTTTAATCAAAGTATTGCATCAATATTTGTTACTTGACCTGAAGTCTATTGATAAATCTGGGTTTTATGGTCGCTTATGGATTCACCATAATGCATCTGCAGAACTGATGTTTGATGTTCTGGTGTGACTCTGGATATGATTGCTTTCGCAGGTTTACTTTGACATCAGGATCGGAGATGAGGATGCAGGACGGATCGTCATTGGACTCTTTGGAAAAACTGTCCCTAAAACGACAGAAAATTTCCTCCAGCTGGCCACTGGCGAGGTGAGTTAAGTTTTTTTTTTTTTCTGGTCAGGACTCAGGATTGATGATTCATAGTAAAGTGAGTCTAAATGAATGCAATTCTGATTTCCAGAAAGGATTTGGTTACAAGGGCAGCAAGTTCCACCGTGTGATCAAAGACTTCATGATCCAGGGAGGAGATTTCACTAGAGAAGATGGAACCGGAGGTATCGTGTTTAATTGTTATTTTAATGTTCTCATAAAATTAGAACGCATTAAGATTATCAACCTGTTACTTAAGTCATTTTTTTGAGGTCTCAGATGCCAAACAAGAGCAATAAACCTCAGTTTATTAGCTCCAGGATTATTAAAAGATTTCTAATGCCTCTTTATGTAGGTAAGAGCATCTACGGAGACCGTTTTCCTGATGAGAACTTCAAGCTGAAGCATTATGGTCCTGGTTGGCTCAGCATGGCCAATGCCGGCAAAGACACCAACGGCTCCCAGTTCTTCATCACCACGGTCCAAACGCCATGGCTGGACGGCAAACATGTCGTGTTTGGCAAAATCCTGGAGGGCATGGTGAGTATCTCCACTTCGTCCATCTGTGAAGTTGTCTGTTCTTCCATACCCATAGAAGTGCATTTACTCTGGTGATTGTGCTAATTTTGTGGCTTTTCCTGCTGTCTTGAAGGATGTGGTGAAAAAGATTGAGAGCACAAAGACAGATGGGCGAGATAAACCTCTCAAGGACATCATTATCCACGACTCTGGCAAGATCGAGGTGGAAAAGCCTTTTGCAATAGCTAAAGAGTAATTTAAGTGTGGGGGGACAACAGGACTCTGGGTTTAAGGGGATTGAATTTGGTGCCACTAGAGTTCTAGTGGAAAGAGCGAGTGTGTATGCGCTCATTAGAGCTCCGCCCCCTCGCGGGACCGTCACACACCAGTCCTGATCCGCAGAGCGGCACATCCTGGGTCCAGTTCAAACCAGCATTCCACACGGTCAGATTCCTGACCCACTTCAACCTGCTTTTGTAAACTAATCTTTAATAAAGGATCCAGGTTTTCTTAATGCTGTCGTCTTGCTTAAATAAATGCCTTTTGTTTTGGTTTCTTTTTTGACCATGAACAAATCAGACACTCTCTTTATTTCATAGAAATAATCTTAATAAAAGTGTCTGGGCACAGTAAAACAAAATCAGTGACAAACTGGGTTTGGAATGTGATTTCATTATGAAATGTCCAGTTTATATTTTACACTGAAATTTAAAAGACAAACTATATGCATAATGAATTATGAATATTAAAATTGATCACAAAACTACATTTTAATATGGGGGGGAGAACTAAAGTATAAATCTACAGCATACTGCAATGACATATAACTGAATTTGCACTTAAAATATTTCCATTTAAATCTACTTGTTTGTGTGTTGGCAGTCTTTTTTTTTTTTTCAGAAATATATGAAATGAATAAAAAATATATGCAAACATTTAAATGTCTTATTTCAATGATCATGAAGACAAAATTATGCACAAAAACTAGATTTTAATATGGAAAGAATACTTTTTTAAAAATAGTCCAAATTAAATTTAGTACAACGTATTGAAATGCTGTATATTTGCAGAGGTACTTTAAATATTTAAATTTAAATCTATTTTGTGCATAATACAGTTGGCAGGCTCCTGAAAATAATCTTTATTAAACTATTTTTTGATTTTGACATGAAAATGACAGAGAATCTGTTTTTGTGAGATTCACATAATAAAATATGACAAACCTAAAGATGAAAGATTCAGTCTAAACATGCAAAGGCACATTTAAAGCAGATGGAGTTGCTAGGTAACACTGCAGTGACTGCGCTCACATTCTCTGTGTCTCTGGCAGTGAGCTGATATTGCCTCCGTTTATGGTAATAGTGGGGATTTTGGGATGCACAGGCAGCTCTGGTGCACAGGTGAGGCCGCTGGGTTTAGCGCAGCTCTTTTTGAAACTCACTTTGACGTCTCTGGGGTAAAAACCCTGCAGGACGCCGGCCGCCACGATATCAGGGAGATCTGGGGGGAAATGACCACAACAGTGTTTCTCTTGGATGTAATCAACACATTTCTGTAATCACACAATCACAGTAATCTAATCAGGTTTACCTGATCTGGATTCAAGCTGGTAAGGGTCAGCCGAGAAACCAACTACTCGCTGATGGAATAACTGAAATCTATAGGAAGACAATGTTCAATGTCTATTTAGAATCAATTGATCAAAATCTTGATTCCAAATGAGGGCTGAATTTATGGATATGAATTTATTAAAGAAATGAGGATGAACATACCTGTATCCTTGCTTTTGACAGTCAACTGACAGGTTTTCACTGAAATATGACAATTAGGAATAACAAGCCAGAAAGCAGTGTTAACAGAATTATTAGTTTACTTGTTACTAATTTAACTGAATTTTCCAGTGAAGTGATCTGGTGTAAATACATACTCAGAGCTGCAGTTCTTGCTCGCTGAATGAAAATGTTTGACCTGCAGGAAGTCCAGGAGCTCTTGAGGAACAACGTCATTTTGATACAGAATCACCTGTAATCAGCAGCCAATGAACAAAACTATTACATTACAATGTTGATATATTCCGATCTATTTTATATATTATGATACTTTATATACCCTACAGTTCAAACGTTTGTTTTTGAAAAATGTCTCTTATGTTCACCATGGCTGCATTTATTTGATCAAAAATACATTAAAAAAACTATATTGTGAAATATTTTTACAATTTAAAATGCTTTCTATGTTAATATTTTAAAATGTAATTTATTCCTGGGATGCAAAGCTGAATTTTCAGCATCATTACTCCAGTCTTCAGTGCCACATGATCCTTCAGAAATCATTCTGATATGCTGATTTGCTGCTCAATAAATATTTCTTATTATTATCAATATTGAAAACAGTTGTGCTGCTTCATATTTTTGTGGAAACGGTAATACCTTTTTCGGGACTCTTTGATGAATAGAAAGTTCAATAGAACAGCATTTATTTGAAATAAAAAATGTTTTTTGGCCAATTTAATGCATCCTTGCTGAATAAAAGTATTGATTTCTTATTTAAAATAAATAAATAAAAGTAATATTTCTCATCAAATATCCAAAAACAAGGTGATGAGGGGTGAGGGTGCTACATTTGAAATAGCATACTAATATTCTATTTTTGCAGTATGTGCTTAGTATGTGATTTTTTTTTTTTTTTTTGGTGTATATTGAATATTTCGATTTCCAAACACATTTGCCCTTTTAGAACACAGGTCTCGTAAAGGTTAAAAACAAAACGAAATGTGCTTTTTACAACCTGATTGCGTGCAATACTGTATCCCATAATATGACCCTCAATGATCCTCTATTTTGTCAAATGAGTAGGGTACAACGGGGCTAAAGGCGCCTTTGATATTATTTTCATCTAAACCACTAGATGGCACAAAATTCGCTAAAATTAATGCATATATTTTGAGACAAAGGTCTTCTTAACGATTTTAGATTATTAAAGCAAAAAATTTGTAAATAACTAAAGAATATTTCAAAGTATGGTATTTGGGGTAAAAAGCGCCCCTGCTGTTGGGGCTAAAGGCACACAGTAATTAACATGATAATTAATAGATGGCTGACTTTTCCATGACATGGTTAGATTCAGATGGTAAATATCATATATTATGTTGGGTGTCCATATTAGAGATAATCACCATGTTTAGAATGAATATGATATTAATCATATCATATAATAAAATATCATTTGTTGTTACTACTGTAAATATATATTCAATTATAATGGGATCTCCTTCAATACTTTCAGAATCTTTACTTATTAAAATTATTTTGTTTCTGTATTTTAAAATATATTTTTTATATTAACATTTTAATGACAGTATATTTATTGAACAAAAATGAATTCTTTTTCTTCAAAATAAGCAGAAAATAGTACAAACTTTGCTAAAGTGATTGTTTTGAACAAGTATTAACTTAGAAATTACTTTAAAAAAAAACAGTATTTTAGCTGAAGTATTTGTATCAATACCGTGTGCCTTTTACCCCATGCTGGTGAGCCTTTTACCCCGTGTGTGGGGTAAAAGGCCCCTCTTGCCACCTCATACATTTATAAAATTTTTAAACAAAATAAACAACTTGAATGATTTATTTTCACACAAAATCTGTTGCTCCATTAATGTTCAATACAAACGTATATATTTTTTCTGCAATTACATTTTTTCTTAAGGTGGGCCTTTAGCCCCGTTGTACCCTACTATTTCAAATATATTGTTGTGTACTACATATGCTTAATAAACTATTATACCTGTGTTGTTATTGCTAACAAAAACTATTAAAAAATTATTTCGGTAATTGAAATAATAAACTAAAACTTTAAATGAAAAATTTAACGAAAATAAGAATTATTCCTTTGGCAATTAACTAAAGTTAGTACTTGACGTACTAAAACTACTAAAACTGAAATAGAAAACTTAAAGCTAAATCAAATTATTAAAAAGAATAACTAAAAATGAATGAAAATAATGCTAATTCAAAATATGAATAAATACTATAACAGAATAAAATAAGCATAAGAAATATATAGCATAAAACAATAAAATATGAAAAAATAAAAAATAAAACAGCAACATAATATAATAACATAAAATAACTATATCTACCTGGATGTAGTCTTCCAGTTCCTGCTGTCTTTGCTCCAGCGGTTTGGTTCGCAGGTGCTGGTTTCTCTTACTGGGGAAATCGGGAGTGCGCAGAATCTTCTTCAGCTTCCGGTGAAGCATCTGAAATTCACTGTGTCTCCGCAAAACAAAGTGTTTCCTTCCATTGAAGAGAATCTCCAACCTGAAGAGCTGAAAAACAAGAGAGTCTGTGTCATAAAACCCGTAAACGATCAGAACAGACTTCAACAAAACTAAATTGCTCTGTAACTACTACCATGTCAACTGATCTCTCTCTCTCTCTCTCTCTCTCTCTCTTCTCTCTCTCTCTCTCTCTCTCTATATATATATATATATATATATTCTCTTATTATAGATCAGTGATTACATTATTCGCCAGCAGGAGGCGCCGGTGCGCGTTTTAAAGTCATTGCCCGGATCTCTGACCTAGTTTTGCATCTAGAGCTCTAATGTGGTTATGGCAGGTTAAAACAGCAGTTATTAGTACTCAAACTCAAATTTTGCTTTCCATAAGAAATAATTTAGAAAACCCAAAGACAATTCATAGTGAATGACCTCATCAAACCCACACAAAAGTTTAGTCTTAATATAGGTCATGTGAGTTTACACAGGTTAAATCAGCACAGGTGTGGCGGTTCTTCAGGTAAGATCACACCCTGCAGCATTGAGTGGCTCTTTATAAAGACTCATGGGACTTTATTGTCCACAACACAAAGAAATGTCAACGTGATGTATCTAAACCCTCCATCTCTGGAGATCCTGACAGAACAACAGTGTTTTTACTTCATGTCAGTCACCGAGCTGTATAAAATCAGAAGTTATAGGGAATGAACAATCATAATGTTATAGTATGTATAGTATTATATATATATAGAGAGAGAGAGAGAGAGAAAGATAGATATGTAACTGTGCATTATGTAGGTGAATACTGTCTCTCACAATGCCTTGCATTAATTTATTTACTTCTTGACTTATAATTTGACCAGACTGCCATGAGAGATGTTAAATATGTGAAACACCTATACAGTATAAAAATAACTACTTTTGACATGAGGTCATGTAACAATAACTTTGAATACTATTTTTAAAACATAGTATGCAGAATTGAGTGTATACTACACAGTATCTGAGAATTAGCAGTTTCCCATTTTCCACCCATAACAAAAGAACACAAAACATTCAGTTCCTCAAGCATTTCCCACTCTGAGCTCAATCTTTCGCTTCTCAATGCCTCACATTTTTCTCACTAAATCAGAGGCTGAGGGAGAGGGAGAGGGAAATAAAAATGATTGTGTCTCAAGCATGTTTTTACGAGTTAGTGCTCAAGCATGCTCAACACGGTAATGGGAACTATCAATGCGGTGTTATGTACAAAAAAAAATTTAAAAAAATGAAGAATTCAAAAGCTATTCAAGAATTTAAAGGGACAGTTCACCCAAAAATGATAATCATAAATCATCTACTCACCCTCATGTCATTCCAAATCTATATGATGTTCTTTCTTCCATTAAACACAAAAGATGATGTTAGACACACTGTTCACACTGCTCTTTTCCATTCAACGAAAGATAACATGCTGCCGAACACCATACATGTGCATTTATATAAATATACATTTACTCAGAAATATAAATACATTTATCAAAAATATGAATGTATAAATAAATTAAAATAAATATATTAAATACAGTATATTAAAATATGAATGCTCTTTTCCATACAATAAAAGTGGATGTGTTGTCGATCACAAATAAATATATAAAATTTAATTTATATACATTTATTTATATTATAAAATACACATGTAAATAAATATTTTTTACAATAAATAAATAAAATATAAATAAATTAAATTAATAAATTAAATCTATTATATACTAAAATATTAAAGCTCTTTTCCATACAGTGAAATAGGCTCTTGAACACAGTCAATATATAAATGTATAACTATATATATACAATTTAATTTATATAAATATACATTTATTTTTAAATACATTTATTATAAGTGTATAAATAAATGTAAAAAATATATATACACATAAATACATTTTAGTAAATAAATACATTAAAATCCATATATACTACTTATACTCGCTTTGGATAAAAGCGTCTGCAAAATGACTAAAATGTATACTAAAATCATACTTTTTAAAAAATTATTATAGGTGAAAGATTCACATAAATGCAGGTTTGGAACAATATGAGGGTGAGTAAATTCAATGAGAATTTTCATTTTTAGTTGCACTCTCCCTTTAAATCAGTGAATTCTACACAGGCTTTATGGGTAAAGTGAGTTAGTGCAGGCGGGGTGGGGGCACCAGATTGTGTCGTGTTTATCGGGGTCACAAGGACTCGATTTAAACCCAGTTTCTCCCTCTCTCGATCTTATAGAGCTCTCATTGTTGCTGATGTTCAGGGCCGGATATTTCCGTTAAGATGAAGAGTACTCTTTCTCTATTCATCTCCAGTACAGTAAAATTCATCTCTCTCAACTGTGACCTCCGACCTCCATTCTTCTGAAGTTCTACGGCTCTCAGTGTCCAGAGATGTTTTCATGGCCTGCTCAGTCTGACAGGTGCGAGTGTGCGTTTGCCATTACCAGCTTTGACTGACATCAGCATGTTGCCGTGTGGTTGTGATTCAGCTGTGATTTAGCTGTTCTACTTTTAGCATCACACACAGACAACTGCCCCCCATAAACCCTCTCATTCAGAGCACAAAAACTCCTCATACAGCTCCATGTTATCCATTTCTGATCATAAACTGGTCAAATCATACAGAAACACATGCTGTTGGGAACGATGTGAGGAAAATGCACACATTCTAGTTTGGTCAGTTGATTTGGCTCCATCTGATCTGATAAATGAACCAAAACTGCATCGTGTTATCTAGATCAGTGGTTCCCAACCCTGGTCCTGGAGGCACCCCAACACTGCACGTTTTGCACGTCTCCTTAATCAAACACACCTGATTCAGGTCATCAGCTCATTAGTAGAGACTCCAAGACCTGAAATTGGTGTGTCAGAGAAAGGAGACATGCAAAATGTGCAGTGTTGGGGTGCCTCCAGGACCAGGGTTGGGAACCACTGATCTAGACGACACACAAAACATCTTTTAAGTGTTTTGAAAGCACAGTGACTCTCTTTCCTTCACTCTTGGCTGGGTCGGTTTTGGTTGCAGCTGGACGGTCCTAGAGAACTGGCTCAGACTCCATGCAACACACTGGTTCTACTATTTATCTATGGAAGCTTATTTTCCACCACTTTTTATCTCACAATTCGGACTATTTTTCCTCACAAGTTGCGAGTTTAGAACTCACGATTCAGACTTTTTTCTTTCTGTGAATTCTGAGTTTACATCTCGCAATTCTGACTTTTTTTTCTCGGAATTCTAAAGTTTACATTTTATAATTCTCACTTTTTTCTCCGAATTCTGAGTTCACATGTCCCAATTCTATATTTTTCCCCCAAACTTTTAGACACCTGGCCTGACTGCATGCACATGCAAAATTCTGAGAAAAAAAGTCAGAATTGTGAGATGTTAACTTGCAATTGCAAGATATGAACTCGTGAATTTGAGAAAAAGTCAGAATTGTGAGATGCAAACTCACAGCTGCAAAATATAAACTCACAATTCTGAGAAAAAAAGTTAGAACTGCGAGATGTAAACTCCGAATTCTGAATTCTGCAAACCCACAACTGAGAGATATAAACTCACAAATCTGAGGAAATTTTCAGAATTGAGAGATTTAAACGGCGAGATATAACATTGCAATTATGAGAAAAGTCAGAATTGCAAGATGTAAACCCACAACTGCAAGATATAAACTTGTAAATCTAAGAAAAAAAGTCAGAATTGCAAGATGCAAACTTTAGAATTCTGTGAAAAAAAGTCAGAATTGTGAGATGTAAACTCGCAATTCTGAAAAAAACGTTAGAACTGCGTGATGCAAACTCAGAATGCTGGGAAAAATTTCAGAATTGTGAGATGTAAAACTGCAAGATATAAAATTGCAATTATGAGAAAGTCAGAATTGCAAGATGTAAACTAAGAATTCTGAGACAAAAAAGTCAGAACTGTGAGATGTAAACTCACAATTCGGAGAAAAAAACTCTTGAGCTGTGAGTTTACAACTTGCAATTGTAAGATATACACTCGGAATTTGTAGAAAAAAGTCTGAATTGTGAGATATAAACACAATTTTTTTAATTACCCTTTTAATATTTTTATTTCATGGTGAAATTATGCTTCCATAGTCATCAGACAGTGCTATGAATGGTGTAAAAAACTCAAATCTTCCAGAATCAAGAGTAAGAACATTCAGATGATCTCTTGTTTAAATGAGTCGAGATGCTTCATATTCCTGCTCCATATATTTCAGTAAGTGATGACAGTAGAACCGCTGGGGTGCATCTCATCTCTCTTCTATAGAATTGCATATTTCGTCATTTTTCCTTAGGCGTTAAAATCCACTGGAGACACACCTTTAAGGGAAGCACTTAACTAACTTCTTACCTTAGATTTTATTGCATTTAAATAGTCATTTGTCTGTTGTTCTAGTACTCTGAAATCACTTATGCTTGTATTGTTCTCATTTGTTGCTTCCTAGTAAACAGGACATTGACAAATGCAAACAAATCGTCTAAATAACGTTGCTGTATAAGTGCACAATAAATTAGCCATCCCTAGTTGGAAGGTCATCTAAATGTAGCGCAACAAGGTTGCTACAGCTCTCTTGCATATAACATTTCTGCATTGTTACAACCAAGGTTGCAATAGTAGTACAAAAAATAATGTTGCCACAACATGTTTTATGTGTTGTCTGCTAAATGAATACATTTTCTAACTTTTGCTATGCATTTATTTAAAATAAAACATATATTATAAGGACAAATAAATTTCATTTAAGCAATAATTTTCTATTTTCGGTTGCTAGGCAACATTGACAGTGGATCTTCTTAGAACTCATACATGAGTATATATAATCTAAAATACAAGGAACTTTGCAATAATTTACCATGGTAACCATATTTTCCTCCAATGTACAGTCACAGTAGTTGAAAAGTGAAACAACATTATAGAAATAACGACAGAAATACACTGATATCTCATTAATTTACTATAGTTTTACAGTAATAACTGTATGGTATTTTGGTTGCACCTGTGGTTACCATGGTAACGTTACATTTATGTAAGTGAAACCTCAAAGACCGACTAATACATTATTCTTAACTTTCAAAATAAATGACTACTACAAAAGCACGTGCAAAACGTCAAACGCACGTTCGCGCTCTATAGATTATAGATAATATATCACTCTTGGGGAACCACAGATATAAACCACAGAGTTTCTGTATGACTTACTTTGCGCAACTTTCCCGTCTCGTCCACTTCCCTCATGAGAGACGGAATAAAGACCTCGATGACCGGAGACACACACTGATGATCCAACATCTCCAACACAACCGCACAGATCACTGACCGAACTGAAGATCAACTTCGTGTGCTCTGATTCTGAATGATCACTGCTGACTGACTGAGGAAACAATCCGGCGTGCATCTCCAGAGCTCCTCCTCCAAACACACACACACACACACACACACACACACACACACAGCTGAGAGAAATAAAGCCATTCATACAGAACGACACGATTTTGAAGATTAAGATCTTACCGAAAATTAACGAATAGCATGTTAATTTATTAATTAATTAAATAGCATTGAATAAAAAAATTACAATGAAAAACATTGCTAATACAGGTAAACCAACTGCCAGAGAGCAAAAAAAAAAAAGAGATTAAAAATGTCAATGACATAATCGTCTTCACTGGCGTGTCCGATTTTTTATTTTTTTTACTTATTTATTTATTTTTTGTCCAATCAAATCCCAGATAGCACACCTACGTCTGCAAGATGTCTGTTAAAGATCGCTTCATCTGGAAAGCATCTGCTGTGTACAAACATCTGATAGACGTCTTTAAGATGTCAGTTTTACATGCATTCTAAATCATAAACATCTTAAAGACATCTTGCTCTGATTCTGAATGATCACTGCTGACTGACTGAGGAAACAATCCGGCGTGCATCTCCAGAGCTCCTCCTCCAAACACACACACACACACACACACACACACACACACACACACACACACACACACACAGCTGAGAGAAATAAAGCCATTCATACAGAACGACACGATTTTGAAGATTAAGATCTTACCGAAAATTAACGAATAGCATGTTAATTTATTAATTAATTAAATAGCATTGAATAAAAAAATTACAATGAAAAACATTGCTAATACAGGTAAACCAACTGCCAGAGAGCAAAAAAAAAAAAAAAGTTATATAAACTGAGAGATTAAAAATGTCAATGACATAATCGTCTTCACTGGCGTGTCCGATTTTTTATTTTTTATTTTATTTACTTATTTATTTATTTTTTGTCCAATCAAATCCCAGATAGCACACCTACGTCTGCAAGATGTCTGTTAAAGATCGCTTCATCTGGAAAGCATCTGCTGTGTACAAACATCTGATAGACGTCTTTAAGATGTTAGTTTTACATACATTCTAAATCATAAACATCTTAAAGACATTTTCTAAACGTGTATACATCTGACAGGAAACGTCCTATAGACGTATTGCAGATGAGCAAACACTCTAAAAAATACGTCTTGCAGATGTAAACGCAGACGTCAAATAGACGTCTCCGTGATGTACGTGTGCTATCAGGGATATTGTTATTTTAGATAGATAGACAGATATAAAATAGACCTTGATTTGTTATTTATATCAAAGAGATTCAATAAACAAAACTCGGCTACTGTGTGATGTGGCTTCCTGCTCCACTATTTAAATTATGTGTGAATCCTATCCATCTAACCTTGTAAGTTACATTAGTAACATAAAACAAAAGTGTTCCTTTTTTTGTAGATAAATAAATATTTGGCACAATACTGTTGTTGTCGCTCTGTTTTCAAGATCATAGTTCTATTAACTGTCAGTGACTCGCGAATCGACTCAATAGAATCGTTCGAAATGAATCGGTTTAAAGATTCATTGCACTCGTAATTTATCTTCCGCGTTGCATCAGCTTGTTTATGCTGTTTAGGGTCCAAACGCCAATGCTGCAGTGCGTGTGCGAATAAATTCACTCGGACTGTCGTCAATCCGAACTAATTATCTAAAGGTTTATTCATCAAATGCTACAACATACAGAATGCAACGAATCACCTGTCATGAGCTTGCAGAATAGAAATACAAAAATGACCAGTTATAAAGTTAAAATAAATGCACATCGCGTGTTATGCACGTAAAGGCGTCAGTAAAACTCAAGTAGCTAATTGCTTTTAAATAAGAACATGCATAAGCAAACTGGTGCAGTTGCACAAGAACCACGTGAGAATGAGGGACTGTTACAAAAGCACTAACGCAGATCAAAAACAGCAACAACCTTCACTGGAGCACGACAGTGTCGCATTGTGTAATTATTTATCAGAAACTATGATAACAATGTCATAGGCGTTTAGAATGAATACGGGACGATGCATTTCGCCGACTTCCTTGCAGGATCAGTTGGAGGTACAGTTCAAAGTCTGTTGTTTGTTTGGTTAAATTCTCTGCTATTTTTTTTTGTAGAGAGATTTGAGAGAAGACCTATACAGTACGTTGAATGTTTTTGATACTAGAGTCTCTGCTGCAGGGTGTACTTGACTGTTTTTTTGCATGAAAGCAAATGAGTGCACATCAGTATGTTTATTAAAAAAAAAAATCTAAATGTAATCTATTTTTTACATTTAATTAGAAAAACAGCAATAATGTTAGGTCTTCATTGGGCACAATCCTTGTGTTAAATAAAGCACAGCATTTATAAAAGTCAACATTTTAACAACATTTTAACTGGAAAAAAAATGTTGGAATAAGAAAAGTATTAAAAAATACATAAAAAATAATAAATCTAATTGTTATTCTCTTAATTTAATGATAGATCTTCATGCAAAATCCTTGTGTTGAATGAAGCACAACATTTTAAAAAGTTCATTTTAATTTGGAAAATAAATATATTAATAAATAGGAAATAAAAATAAGAAATAGGAAAAAGAAAAAATACTTAAGAAAAATATACATTTGACTTAAAAAAAATAAACTAATTGTTAAGTGTTTTAATTTTATACAAAAATTGGATTAATATGACAATAAAAATGCATGAATAAGACAAAAATGTAATTTAAAAATAAAATATTAATTTATTTAGAAATCAGAAATAATGTTGGGTCTTAATTCCTCACGTCTCCATTGATCGGATTCCCACAGAAGATTATGTGAAGAATACTTTATAAACAATACATTTGAACATGTTTCAGTTCACACAAGACATTTGTAAACCCTGTTCCTTAAGGCAAATAAACACATTTAGTTACTGACACTTCAGAATGATTGATATCGGTATGTGTCATATTCGAGTGCATGTTATTCATCACATATTGCAGGACACACTGTTCTGATGTGCTGTTGTTGTGTTCCAGGAGCATGTGGTGTGGCGGTCGGTTATCCACTGGATACTGTCAAAGTACACTTATTCCAGCCAATCATGCATTATTATTAAGTGCCATATTAGATTTGGCACATAACTTAAGACATGCATTGCTGTAACATCATCTCCTGACCATGAATATGTTGATTTGATCCCTGCACAGGTCAGAATCCAAACTCAGAGACAGTTCACTGGAATCTGGCACTGCATCGTAACCACCGTTAAAAGAGAAGGGGTACGAAACATACATTTACTTCATATTTAATGATTAATGCACTTCCACATATGAATGATTCCTCAAATCTGTATGTTTACTGATGAATCTTTACTGTTATAAAGAAACCCTAAAATTATTATCTAAAAGCTGCTTGTGATGGACTTTGGTTCATCATGAGACTTACTCATCACCACCTGTTTTTGGTGGTTATCAGTGTATTACAAAGGCACAAAACAGATTTCAGTACTTCAATAGGTTGATATATTAACATTATATCAGTTAATGAAATTACGGTATTTAACTAAATTTAAGTTAAAACCGTAAAACCTAAAATGTTGCTACCGTATTTTTTACCGTAAATTTTACGGATTTTTTTTTACAGCGTATAGGCTATTGCAGATGAACAACGCTCTAAAAAATACGTCTTGCAGATGTATGCAGACGTCAAATAGACGTCTCCGTGATGTGAGCTATCAGGGATGCTCTTTCCAATGAAAATGTCCCCATTCGGACCTGATTGGTCGAACAATTTATGGTCCTACGCCTTCCACAGACGATATTAACATAGAAATAAATTTATAAATAAACCACTTAACTTAGTGATTGCTATCAGGATGTGAAGAGGCTTTCAACCAGCATAACAAAAAATATTTTTGAACCAAATCACCTACCCTGCCTTTAACACATTCGATGTCTCACTATTTTTATTTATTTATTTTCTTTCTTTTTGAGTGAAAACTGCATGTTTCTCTGGAGATTATACCATTCAAAGTTCTTCACTTATCATTCTTAATAAACTCTGTAATAGACTTATGAGAAGTTATGTAAAAGGATATTTGTGTAACTTCTACAAATCTACATTTATTTGTGCATTAAAATATTCTATTCTTAGTTTCTACTAATGATATTGACTGTATCATTTGAGTAATAAACATTTAAGTGTTCAGTATTTAAAATAGAATGACAATTTTTGTAAGGTCAATAGTTAACACTGCATCAGCACTAAACCTGATGTCCTCATTTCTTCTGTCTGAATGAGTGAGAATCACATGATTTCCCGTGAGTCGTGACACACAACCATTCATGCATTTACTGCTGACTAAACAGTCCCGTCTGAAGATAACCCACATTCCTGATGCTCAAGTGTTATCCCAGCATTCCCACGTCATCCCAACTGTTCTGTTCAATTCAATGCTCTCAGTTTATTCTCATCCAAAAAAGAGCAACTGATCATGAACCCTGGACATTTTTTGAGCTACAAATTGCTGGAAAACAAACAAGCTGAAAAGTTTAATGATTAATGAATTTATACTTCAAAGGCTTTTGGTGAAAGATTAATTCCGCTGCAGCTGTAATAATTTTACCAGTAAACCTTCAATGAGGTCACATGAAAATGTCACATCAAATCTCAGAGAAACAACCATTTACGATAAGAGTATTAAATGAGAGCTGGTGCTTTCAACACAGAACAAATATTAGAAGAGGGAAGGCCTGTAGGATCACTTCCTTCTTTAGTCAACTGTGTGGATGTGGATCTTTTGGCTCAAGATTTCAGAAAAGACAAATATTAAGAAGCATTTTATGCAACCAGTTATTTTCAGTGTAGTTATTGTTAACTAAAACTATACAATTTTATCATTGTTATTATTATTATTATTAATTAAAATTAAAATAACAGGAGAAAATAAAAATTAGAAGATTAAAAAAAAACTGAAATCAAATGTTTGAAATATTAAAATCAGTCAAAATAAAATAAAGAAACTAAAAATAATAATGAAAAATGCACATAAAAATTACTAAAACTAAAATTAAAATATAAACTGAAAATATAAAGCAAAAGCTCATTTAAATATTAATAAATACTATAATAGGATATAAATAACACTAAAATAACACTGGTAATGATAAATACACATCTATCTATCTATCTATCTATCTATCTATCTATCTATCTATCTATCTATCTATCTATCTATCTATCTGTCTCTATCTATCTCAAATTGTTTATCTATATCTCAAATTGTCTATCTATCTATCTAGCTATCTCAAATTGTCTATCTATCTATCTCAAATTGTCTGTCTATCTATCTATCTATCTATCTCAAATTGTCTATCATCTGTCTATCTATCTATCTCAAATTGTCTATCATCTTTCTATCTATCTATCTATCTATCTCAAATTGTCTATCTATCTATCTCAAATAGTCTATCTATCTATCTATCTCAAATTGTATATCTATCTATCTCAAATTGTCTATCTCAAATTGTCTGTCTATCTATCTCTCACATTGTCTATCTATCTCAAATCTATCTATCTATCATCTCAAATTGTCTATCTATCTCAAATTGTCTATCTATCTATCATCTATCTATCTCAAATTGTCTATCATCTATCTATCCATCTTCTATCTCAAATTGTCTATCTATCTCAAATTGTCTATCTATCTATCATCTATCTATCTCAAATTGTCTATCATCTATCTATCCATCTATCATCTCAAATTGTCTATCTATCTCAAATTGTCTATCTATCTATCATCTATCTATCTCAAATTGTCTATCATCTATCTATCCATCTATCATCTCAAATTGTCTATCTATCTCAAATTGTCTATCTATCTATCTATCTATCTCAAATTGTCTATCTCAAATTGTCTATCTCAAATTGTCTATCTATCTATCTATCTCAAATTGTCTATCTCAAATTGTCTGTCTATCTATCTCTCAAATTGTCTATCTATCTCAAATTGTCTATCTATCTATCTATCTATCTATCTATCTCAAATTGTCTATCTATCTATCTATCTATCTCAAATTGTCTATCTATCTATCTATCATCTCAAATTGTCTATGTATCTCAAATTGTCTATCATCTATCTATCTCAAATTGTCTATCTATCTATCTATCTATCATCTCAAATTGTCTATCTATCTCAAATTGTTTCTATCTATCTATCTATCTATCTATCATCTATCATCTCAAATTGTCTATCTATCTCAAATTGTCTATCTATCTCAAATTGCACTGACTGCTGTAAAATATGAGACACCAGTGTTTCAGGAGCTTAGGATACAGAATAGGACACATGCTTATTCAATAACTGTTTTATTTCCTATTTGGGTTTATGTATATGCTTTATTTCTTAAGAGTAACTGTTTTATTTTCCTAGGCATTGTTAGATACCAGTGGTTCCTGTCATAGCTATGCAAATATTTGATTTCAAAAATAGTATCATAGCTACTATTAAACTATTTCTTGTTTATGATTTTAAAGCTGTATTTAACCTCAGAACGATCTGAAAGTAAAAAGAGGTGATTTTGTGGTAGATGTGCTTTAAAATTAAATTATTATAATCTTAATTCAAGTGATGAAGGATTTTGCAAGTCTGACAGTAATCAGTGTTGAGTACTACTGCAAGATTAACCCTGCTTGCTTTAAATGTTTGCAAATGATTAACAGTTGAAAATATTCGTTAGAAATTTAGAAAAGTGATCAAATATAATCAGTTACATAACTTTCATAAAGTAATTTAAATAGTTACACTACTTATTACATTTTAAATAGGGCAACTTGTAATCTGTAACCTACATTTCCAAAGTAACCTTCCCAACACTGCTGTCTATCTATCCACACACACACACACGAGACTATTAAATCAAAAGCTTGATATTTGTAATTAAATCTTTATTGTTTTTCCTCAAAAGAAGTGTCCATAGTGAAAAAAATACCTGCCCCCATTTTTCTAATAAACAAACTTTTGATTATTATGGCACCTAACGGTGAAGTTGAACCTGTTGATGTCTGTTCAAAGTGTCATTACAGCAGGGCCCAAAATATCATTCATGAAGCAAACTAATAAACAAACAAACAACAAAACGCTATGAATGACAATGAATCTAACAGCAGCAAAATGTATAAAAAAAAAAAAAAATCTGATGTAGAAACAATTTAATCATTATTAGTAGCATAGCAAAAGGTTATTAATTATTATAACATGACAGATTCGAGTGGATAACAAATATGGTTTGACACAAAATAACATGTTGGCATAAATGTCTACAAATGAAAACTTAAAATTAAGTAAATGAAGAGAAAAGGAATGAAATAATTAACAAAGAAAACCAACTTTAAGACTGAAGTGCTTTGGGCTTCCTATTTGACCAGGTTAAAGAGATCTGATATTGATATTAAACACATTAGGAGTGCGTTTGCGCACTGTACATAGAAACATGATCCTAAATCTATAGAAGATTTAAAATGATCCTTTGGAAAAAAAAAGAAAAAAAAAATCACTGATGAATTTCTATCAGGCTGATCAATGAGTAGAAGTGTTGACATATACAGTTCCTGTCATTTCCACTGCATCCAGCCAGTTTCAGTCATTATATTTCAACATTCCCTAATAACTGTATTACAACCTCTTTTACTTGCAAAATACAATGTCATCATGGTGTTTAAAAGTGTATATACCAATATTCTGGACGTCTAAAACAAACAAGGTCACTATTAGTCTCTGAAAACCCTCCTTAATTGGTACAAACTTCTTGACAGGTCACACAAATGGCCTGATGGGAAGTTTCTTAGAGCGCGAGTATATGAATGATCGGCGAGCGCCCTCTAGTGTAAACCATTGACATCACCACTGACGAGTAACAAATCCAAGTGAAAGAGGTTTGGTTGCATATAGACGAGGAAGACAACCAGCCACCACATGCATTCACATCCCCAAAACAATAAAGATGCAATGTAAGAAAATAACGGTGAAGATTACACAGAAAATATACAAGTTACTAACTAAATCAGAGTAACGAGCGGCCGGATAGACGATTTCCCTTTGCAGCGCGATTTCTCTTGGTTTATAGGCGAGAGGTAAAGAGTGTAGAAAGGCCTCGGTTATCGGTGAGTTTGTGTTTGTGCGCAGACGCCGCCTCACACGATCGCTTTCGCCTCTGGCAGAAACGCGTCCCAGTATTTTATCAGCTAGAGGAGAGAGAGAGAGAGAGAGAGAGAGAGAGAGAGTGAAATATGAGTATGTTTTAAACAATTCAGTCAGATAAAATGATTAGAAATGTTTCTGTACCTGTTGTTGTGAGTGCAGCAGAGACTCTAGATATTTGATGACTTGTCTATTAAAATCTCGAGCTTTCTCTTTCTGTTAGCAAAGAAATTGTAATGAATAGTTATCGTCTTTTTGAAGAGAAAAAGGTTTCGAAGGACAATTTAAAGGAATAGTTCACCCAAAAAATGTTTATTTGCTTAAAATGTTCTCACTTTCTGGCCATTTAAGATGTAGAGGAGTTTGTTTCTTCATCAGAACAGATTTGGAGAAATGTAGCATTCCATCACTTGCTCCCCAATGGATCCTCTGCAGTGAATGGGTGCCTGAAAAACTGGTAAGAAACAAATCCATCATAAAGATGTTTTCAACTTCAAACTGTTGCTTCTGGCTAAAAGCTAAAATTCCATAATCAACAATAACGCTTCCTCCATTGAAAAGTCCATCAACTGCTGTCCTCTTGCATCAAAATCCACCTATATATTTGTTTAAGACTGTTTTGACTGTTTTCACTTGTAAACAGTGCTTGATCAGTGCATATTTCTCTCCTGATTCAGATGAGAGAACTTTTTCACTGAAGAAAGCAATATTATGGATAGAGGACTCGTATTTTAGCTGGAAGCAACAGTTTGAAGTTA